ATCAACTTTTTCCCTGATTCTTGCACCCAGAGGAAGTCAATCATTACTCGGGAATACCTAACGATCCAAGTGATTATCCAACAAAAATTCTCATTTCTCCCTTTTCACTGATCATTTGACATTCTCTGGGGCATTGTTTTTGGATTTAAATGGCTTCTCAACACCACTGGTGTGGAACCAACGAAACAAATGGACGCTGTGCACAATTTTGCCGTTTATTCACGCTGGAGTGGTTTCATGGTTCAGAGGATTCGTCCCCAGACAAATCCAGACAGGATCTAGGCGAGGCATCCGCCTTCAAGTCCTTTTCATTTATTTCATCATTCATTTATCATTTTGTCATTAATTTTTTTCGGTAGCGCATGATTTTTCGAAATTTCGCCCTTTTCAAAAATCAACGCCGCGAAAACATGAAATGATTCATTGATTTATTTTATTTCCGAATAAAAATTTCATTGGATTTTAGTAATCAAGACCCCATTATCATTCGATGATTCGATTGAAATTGAAATTTTGGATTTTTTTTTGTGTTTACTGGGAGTTTAATTTAATGGAGTCATTGAATTTCGAATTTCTCGTCAATTATTTTTTCTCTCATCCGAAAAATTGATTACTTTCTCATCGCTGTGGCACCACCATCCGGATGTTGGCCCCCACAATTCCCAGACTCGTATTTCGCGAGAGAAAGAGCCCATCATCCCATTCAAATTCGATCCCATCGTTCACTTTTTGCTGTGGTCTTGGTCCAATGATCTCGAGTAGCCCCGTGGGACATTGATGTTTTGCAAGTGGTAATGGCCAACCCTAACCCACCTGTTGCGATCTCCAGTGACACCAGTTTAATTTTACCATCCAGCTACCCATCGGGTAACTCAATCCCCAGTTTATCGTCCCGATCAAACACTAAATATCGAACAGTCCAAAAATTTTTAACACTACATCACTCCTCACTTGCAATGCAAATCAAATAATACTGGATTTTTTTAATATTAAATATCTAAACAAATGATTCTTTCTAAAAAATCAATGTCAAATTTCTCATCATTTCAGTATTGTTAATTAATTTGATAGATATTAGGAGAAATTATCTGGAGACTTATGAATTTCAGGCCAATATTTTTATTACTCAATTTCAGTTATTTATATAATAATTATTTATGATATTAAAATGAGAAAGGAAATTGATATCGAAATATCTTGATTAATGCACGTGCGATACACGTGCGGACGATCCGGGGTATATATTAATAATAGAATAATGAATATAATAATAATATATAAATAATATATAGGGAAATATATGCAAATGTAAATAACAGAATTAATTAACGGAATAAAGGCTTTAGAAAATGTTAGACAGGATTTTTTGAAAGGGAATTTTTTTCAAGAATAAAATTGAATAATTCATTAATTATTGTTCAACTAATTGACGATTTATGAAATTCTCTCGAAAAAAATTTTGCCCTGAAAAAAAAAATTGTAACGTCTGAATAAAAGTTGAGGCCCCGATGCATCACAAGTCGCGACGCGAGTAAACAATTAATGCAGACTCAGACAAACAACAAAAAAACATTCATGAAAAAAGATATATTTTTTTTTTTATGGGCTCCAGTAATGACTCGATGAATAGACGTAATTGAGCCGCCGGTTGCCCATCTTTTTATTCTTGGACGCGTGCCCCCGTCAGGAATGAGAAATCATTTGCATAGGAACTAGTGTCACGGTGCGATAAAACTTGTCGGTAAAAAAAAAACGTGCAGGGAAAAATAGTTACAGGACATAAAACTTGATGAACGATTGACGACTCAGCGCAAATGATAAATAGTTCATTAGACGCTCTCGATATTATAATGTCTTTCGCGTAATTATTCATCAATTCCCCTCCCGCCCCTCCTCTAAAAAAATCACTAGCAATTCTTTAATTTGTTGTTTTTATTAATAATCATTTTTAGAAAATATTTATATATAATCTGCCCCCTCCCGTTTATCATCCAATAATTAATTTTGAACTCATGATTTTACTATTAAAATTACGTAAATTTCGAGGTGAAAATTATTTTTTAAAAAAGTGAATAAAATGGATGAAATATTTTTCAAAAATATTATCGAACCTTTATTTATTTATTCTTTTATTATTTGATATGCAAGGACTTTTCTATATTTCATTATTTATTAATAATGGGAATAATTAGAAATTTATAATGTTGTGGATATAAATGTTTATTTATGTGTTAGAATTTTTTTTGGAAATATCTCAGCAATTTTGGTATCATGGGGGAAATGTACTCTCATGTTGAAACAACATTGAAGTCTTTATAATCTGAAATATTGCTGATAGAAAAATTTCTCTTGCCTCCCAAAATGTGTGAGTTTCATTGTGAGAAAGTAACATTTTGTGGTGCTGTTAATCTCACTCTTAAATTCCCCCATTTACCAAGAAATATAAGATGACATTTTTTAAGACACCAGGTATTTCTACCATGTCCAGGGTACAGGTAAACCTCGTGGGTTGTTTAAGTACTGAAAAAAAAAACAAAGCTATAGGAAAAATAAAAGGAATCGGGCGTCAAAGACCGGGCGAATTTCCAAGCCCCTCCAGCAAATTGTTGTTCATCGTATCGTAAAGTGCCACATAATTGTCATCTCGTGCGTATATCATCCCGACTTTATGGTAAGCCGTAAATAAAACGGTAAACAATCCACACGGCTTTATGCGACTGCGATACAGAATACCGCGCGTTGAAAAATTATTCTCATGGGTCTCGTATTAAGAACAATCGAATTAACTTTTTGGCAGTCACCGATTAAAAATTGTCTCGATATTTTTCAACTCCAGGGGTGTGGGGGTAATATGGATATTTTTTTATTTCAATTTCGCTAGTGGAAAATAAAGTTTAATTCAAATTATTTGTTGAAAATCATTTTTTTTGTTTAATTGTTATTACTATTATTATTTAATATTATTATTCAAACTTTCAGTTGATTCTCTCATAACTTAACAATTAGTCTGTGGGGGGTTGTCATTAAAAATTTGCAATAAAATAAAAATGAATGAAAATATCCGATAATTAATTTTTTTTCTCAACCAAATGGAATCTAAAATTCAAATTAATAAAATCCATTAATTTCCCCAATTAATCCCCAATTAATTGTTTTAAAATAAATACATTACCAGTTGTCTCAGAATAATAAAGACTAATTAACACTGAAAAATAAAATTTGAAATATATTTGAATAAATAAATAAATAGAAATGAATGAAAAAAAAATCTACAGTTGACAGTTCCTCTACACCAAATTGAACCTAAAATTCAAACTTTCAATTAACTTCCCGCATGACTCAGCAAATAATCAGCGGGGGGTTGTGAAAATTCGTGATGGTCACTACGAAATTAGTTGAAATTACAAAAAAAAAAAAATGGATAATGTGACACCCAATGAGGTAACAGCTGGCGTTGGCATAGGTATCAGCACATTGTAATTAACCGTAGCTTTGGCATGCCACCCCCATGTTCGGTGCCATCCTGCTACTGAGCTAGCGCATATGATTCTGATCCTGACCCCTTCGTGACAACGACCCCCATGGCACACGTCCAGGTGGATCCGTACGTTAGAAATTGTCCGATTCACTCAATTCAGCTGCCTAATTTCGTGGATTCCACCCCAAACGCGTGCCACCGATTTTGCGGGTGCTAGAAAATTCAATTTTTTTTTTTATTTTGAAAAATGGGGACTGATGGAACATAAGTCCGGAACACTGGACTAGAATTCTAATTGCGTCATTAACTTGTCATTTTAGGGTACCAACATTTTTGAGTCGTGCTCAGGAATCATTATGGGACTCATGGGACTCATGGGACTTATGGGAATTAGGGGAGACTATCTGAGGATATCCTCTTTAATATCAGAATTTGGAATTTCTTTTGTTTGTATTAAGGAAACGGGATTATCAGATTTTCAGATTTATTTGACAATTAAATTGCCTGAGACAGTTTTTCAAAATTTCCAGGAAAATTGACGGTAATTGGACGTTTTTTGGGGGTAATTTTTTTTATTTAACATTTCCGTTGGGTAAATATATGAAGGGATTTTTACGATTGGAGAAAAAAATGTCCGCGTTATTATTAGAATTCAGTTTTAATTGAAAATGAAAGTTTTTTTTAAATAAGAAATTTCTCAATCTATTTCATATTAATAAATAAATAATAATAAAATTAATATCACTTTCAGGGATATTTAATTGTGATACCATAAGTGAAGTTTTAGAATTTGAATGTTTGAGGAATTGTTTAATTAATGGGGAATTGAATAGATGTTAAAAATTTAATTATCCAAATAATTATATAAAAAATTTAAAAAAAAATAATAAAAAATGGGTTTTAAGATGAAATCGAGTAGAAGATGAAATTCAAAAGACCTCACTAACTTTCCATTCGCAGGTCACGAGATTTACCGACTGAGATCTCTGGACCTTGACCTTTCATAGTTCAAACTTTTCCCTCAGACTTTTTCTCCTCGGCTGCACCCGACGGATAATTCCATTATAATTAATCCATCCCCTATTCTCCCTTCACAATTTCCAATCAATACAGCAAAAGATCGATTGCTTAAAAAATTCCAATAAAATTTCCAAGTGATTTTCGAAGGATTTTTCGAAATTCAAAAAACCAGTTCAGTTTCCCTTGAATATCTCCAAATTCAGGGCCGATATCGAAATTTTCATAATAATCTTTTTTGCAGATCTAATCGAGAGCTGGAAAAACGGTTATATTGAAAATTTTGGTAATTCCCTTAGATCTTGAGATAATTCCGAGCCAATGGGTTCTATCCGAAATTACTCGCAATCCATTCGGCAAATCGATTAATTCATGAATTCCTCTGACGTCAGAAAATTAATAATAAATCACCATGTGTCACCTGACCTTCTAAAATTGTCAATAACAATCCAATCGATGAATCAACGACGAAAAAAAAAATGACGGGTAAAAAAAAATGCGTAATTTCAATGAAATCTTGCAATATTTTATTAAATCGATTAAGCCTTAAACATAATTGACTAGAATTGATATAATCCTAGAGTCAGATTTCCATCGTACTCACATTAACCCAATAAAAAAGGAACAAGGTTTATGCGGACTTTCATAATCCATTATTGATATAGAATCAATCAGTTAATTAGTCTTTGGAGGCGCTGCATCGTTGACTTCAATGAATAATCAACCGTTTCAGGCTTCCGATGAGAATATCGTGAGACGAGGATCCAAAGTGCAACGAATAATGCAATCAATAATTGTTCAACATTCGAATAAGCCATTTAATAATGATTCTGCCCCCCACGAGAGGTATAAACATCGCGTAAAGATCAGAATTTGACAAATCGATGATAAAAGTCTCACGATAGTCCATCCAAACCTCCACTAATCACTCGAAAAGTTATTTACAAAAAGCTAAAGACAAGAATACATAACGTATAAAATGAATACATCTAGTCTGATACATGATTGAATGGGAAGAAAAATAAATATACAGTTTGTTTCATCAATAATAATCAATAATAAATAGCCGAAAATCGTTAATCACTGCGATGATATGGGATGAAAGATCCCAATGGCATCAATGACTTTCGCCTCGATCAATAACGTATCTGTCCTATTGCATTTATCAATTCTGGGGCTTCGGGTCCTGTGACGTCATATCTGATGCTGAGACTAAAGATCTTTTATTGTTGACATCACACAATTTCCTCGATCTCCAGTAATCTGTAACAAATAAAAATGGAAAACGTGAGTTAAATCATTCGAGTGGTGCTCTCGTGTTCAAATGAGGTGGTACACCTTTTTGGCGGTATAGAGTACATGAATTCGTCGTGAAATTCCGGGAATTCTGAGTCGAAATGATTTTTCTAGTTGAGATAATGAGGTTTAAATGGTTTAGTCCAGGGCGGGAAGACTTCTAGTTTCATTTGAATCAATAATAAAAAGATAATTCCAATCCAAATCATGAAAATGAGAGTCCTTTTCATATGGAGAGCTACATCTAATCATGTAATCTGAGAGTAATCAGATTGAATTGAGGTACAGGACCTCCAACATTACATGACAGATTTGAGAAGGAGCACCGATGCAAGGACACAGATGGTTCACCCCCACATGAGAGTGCCCCTCCAGAAAATACGAGATTTCCACAACAAAGGCGGGGTACTACAAAAACCTCTTGGAGGGGACACTCGTTTGCCCAGGGCACCCTTCTTTGGTCAGGTAGCACCTGAGCACTCCCTCTTTCCATTCCCCATTTTCGTTCTTTGTAGGATTCATTTTTTTTTTCTCTTCCCCTAGTCTTCTCACCTCCGATCCTTCGAGACATAAGAAGTGCCACGTGACAGGTGAGATTAAAACTCTGTGTTAAAACCCTGTGATAGATGTTCAAACGGAAAAATTTTGTCTATTCTTTAAAAATTAAAGCTGAAGAAAAAGAAAGAAAAGTCGCAATAAAAAATCCGACATTCTCCAATATTTTTTAAGAATTCTATCAAAGAGAAGATTCACTATTTCAGATTTAACTTTGAATTAAAAAGGGTGTCATCACCACCAGAAGACATTTCAGGAGTGAAATGATAAAGGGAGACGAGTTGACTCATCCCTCATTTCAGTTTTCCCGCGATATTTGGAAATCTAACGAAGATAACCGAATTTTCGTAATAACATTTATTGCAGGGTTCAATTAGATCCACAAAAAAGGTGATAATAAAAATTCTGCTATCTCCTCTAGATTCTGAGATATTTAACCTATTCTGAAAGAACTTGTCAATCGTCAGAATTGATTGATTGCTGTCTACCTCTTCGCGACTGAATCATACAAAGAATTGTTTTGAAAAATAATTCCCTTCTCCAACATCCAACCAATCCACCAAAATACCGAGATCCTGACGGTTTACCTGAACGATTGCGTAGAAAAAAAAAAACTGCCAAACCTGGTGTACACCTTGCTCCATTCTCTTTGTAGTTTTCCCCCAGTCCTCTAACTCCAGTACTCCAACTGCCTCCTGAGAGCTCCAGAATAAAGACCCGAGATCTCCACAACTTCTGGCATCTGAATTTTAACGATTCAACTCCAATTTAATAATCCAGAAATCAAGGCATACATCAGACGCATTTTCCTAGCATCATCTGTCGAAGATAATGGTAACGACCAAACGATAAAGAAATCATCACGAGAAACCACCGAACAAAGTATCATTGTGTCACCCATAAAGATCAGTTGAATTTCAATAGGATCCACCCCGGAAAAATCACGCAAACGGCATTTCCATCATAACTCTCCCCTTCTCAAAGTTCAAGGAATAAACTGGCTTTTCTCGGAGGTTCCCTTTATTATTATTTTCTTTTTTGTCGATTCCCCTCAGGATCTTCTCACGAAACATTCTACCAGAGACTTTATGCGTTTTACGACAGCCAGGGCATTCAGGAGCGAATGCAACTGCGTCGAAGGTATTTCAGACGAAAGATGAGGAGAACGATGAGAAAATGGTGAGCAGAAGAAAGGACTTCTTCCGCGATGATTTCGACGCGGTCGACGACCGCTTGTGAAGGATCAGTGGAAAAAAAAAAAATACTGACTCGTCTGTTGCTATGTGTTCACTACAATGAGGACAGAAATTGTTGGTGTAAAACCCGGAACGGAATACCGTAATTTAGCGCCCACCATTATGCGCTCTCCTGATTGTCATGAGAGTTCAATTGAGTCCTCGAAACTGGTTTTAAGTCTTCGTTAGAATTGCTACCAACAGTCGCCTCGCGAATTCGCTGAGATTTTTCGTAAAGAACTTGAATTTGTGACCGTTGAATGGATAACGGCGGTCGTGTCATGCCCACGTTGAAGTCTTTTAAAGAATGATCGTTTGGATTGTATCGGCGACTTGGATCATGTTGAGATTGTGGGGTGACCCCCCATTCGTTTTACCTAGATGTCTCTCTGCTTGAAAATAATGGAACAGGTGGTGGCACGACCTTACCGAGGACTCCTTCGCAATGCTGACGGTATCGCGTGTTCAACCGATTTAATCGTGGGAAAAAGCAGACTTCAGGGACTTACGATGGTGCTAAACAGGTGTCGCGAAAGGGCCCGCATTCGCTTTACTCTCGGTCCCACTCTGGTGAACACGCGGTTTCTTCCGGTCTAGGAGAATCTTCCGAGATTTTTGATTACGCGGGAGCTTTAGGAAATCGCGAAATCCAAAATTTCGAGTGACGATTTATTCGTTTAGTCAAATATCATGGGACGATCATTACCGATTTCGTGGGATTTCAAATGATTTTATTTGAATTGATATGATTTAATTGAGAGTGACAGAGTGATTTCACCAATGGTCAGCCCCACGATCTCGACATCCCGAAATCCAAAATCTCAACAGATTTTTGAAGGAATTTATCTCCGGAGGAAGTGATTCGTCAGATAAATCATCGGATAAGATTATCCTTATCAGGTCTATTTTCACATTATCTGAACCTGCGCCGTCACAATCCGGGATTTTAGCTGTGAGAAATCAGGACTGGAGAGAAATAATCAACAGCGATCGGCATCTCAATTCTCAGCCGTTATGCGCCCCGTTTCCTGTCTCGAAGAGTCTCAAGATTGTTGGATAACACTTGAGAAATATAATAAAGAATTTAAGGTTACTTTAGTGCTTTGTGTGCCACTTCGCGGCCATTTTGTCAAGAACAGTCAGACCACTTGGGTAAATAGGGCCCTCTCTTGTTTACTCCCGGTTATTCCCGATAAGGGCGAGATGTTATCGGTAATGAGGGTTGGAATTCTCACGGCTCTCAAAAGTAAACACTTTTTTTTTTGTGACCTCTTGGGAGAGAATGGTCACGCGATTTGTTCGCCGATCGCCGATCGCCGATTTTTTTTTTTTTTTAACGCTTTCGGGGGGACTTTTGGTCCAGGAACATTGGGCATTTGAGTTTCGAGGGGAATTCGGTGAGTCAGAGAGGTCCTTCGTAATGGAGTACATGAGTCAGGAGTGACTGAACAGTGATTCACTCATTCGAGTCTAGACTCGTTTAGGCATCCGCTCGACGAATTCTTCACCTTTTTCCATCGAATATACGTCATTCCATCGGGTATTCGATTTTTAGAGGCCGTCGATATGGGCCTCATCATTAAAATGTGATGAACTTAGTGTTATTTATTGTCAAACACCGGAATTTATTCGGAATTGTGAGAAAATATGTTTTCTCTGAATATCGCACGATCGGATTTCATGTTCACGAATAAAATTAACTACTACTAGAAATTTTTTATTCAAGTGACCAAAAAATAAAATTTTATAAAAAAATCCTTGATCAAACACGTGTCAGTATTATGATATAATTTCCTAAAAAACTGAATATTATAAAAAAGTAATGAAATCGCACACACGAAAAAAAAGAAAAGAAATTCTAATTAAAAATAAAAAATCCCCAAATTACAAAAAAAAAAAATCTCTAAAATTCATTAAATAAAAAAAAATCTCTTGCAAACGATTTCAATGATTAAAAATTCTTTACTCCAGGAAAAATATCCCACTTTATACAACCGATCGCAAGCGAGTCAATTCCCATAGTTTATTTAGGACCCATTGCAAATATAGAAAAATGCATTTCGCGTAGAAGATACGAGAATTTCTTCAGCACCTGAAACCGAGAGGACCTCGAAAACCCGATGGAAAAAAAAAAAGAAAAGCATTCGGAAATTGATATTTCGTTGACTGGAGTAGAATAGCAAAGGCTGCATTGTGGCGTAAAACTAGAAGCCAGTGGAGATGGAGGAGGCTGGTGGAATAATAAAAAGGGGTCGTGTTTTAAAAGCGGTGTGAGAGAGAAAATACGAAGAGAGGTGAATAAAAATGCCGGAACGGGTTCCGGCCACGCGCCCAAAGTCCTTTCTTTATCCCTTGGGTATACGGTAATTCCCCAGTGTTGTGCCGACGGGCGTTTGCCGTTGTCGATCTAGTTTTCCCGCCAAAACTACTACGACGCCAAGTGTGCGTCCCACGATTATTTCGCCATCCACGTTCACTATTTCTCACCTACTTTTACCTATTGCTTTCGATACCGAGCCAATTCATCCATCATTCGCTTCAAAAGCAATACTCATTTTATGTTCAATAAACAATCGCGATAATTGTTATAAACAATAATTAGCAGCGAAGGGGAAAGTCGACTCGCTCATTTCTCGCGTTTTCGAGGAATATCTCGGAATTCAATTGAGATATCAAAAATTAGGTTATTACCTTTTTTGTAGCTTTCATTCTGCTCCAGGAAAAAGATTCTAATATATTTTTCTCTATTCCTCTCAGATATCGAGATATCCCCGGAAATTCAACCATTTCCAGAATTAGCTGACTGCTCGAGTTTTCCAGGAATATCTCCGGATTTAATGTAGATACCGAAAATATGTTGAAGGCTTTTTTGTAGCTTTGATTCTGTTTTACGAAAAAGATTCCAATATAAATTTCGGTATGTGGCTTAGATTCCGAGATATCTCGTGAAAACTTGGGCGTTTGCTGAGTCGACTCGTTTTTAGTACCTCTTCGTTACTAGGTTATTGAAAAAAAAAACGGAAAATTTTATAAATTGGGACTCACCGTGAATGCTAGTTTGTTTGTTGTAAGGAATACTCCTACTTTTCCTCGGCGATTTTCCCTCGCACTTGATAATCTGGAAATTTTCCTTGTCCTCTTCATGTGGATCAACACCCCATCGACTCATGAACCTGCTCCTCTCCATGTCCAGTGCTTCCTGGAGTAATTCCACGGTTTCTTTAGGATTTGGAGGCCCAAAGAGACACCGAGGCACACGCGATTGCATCCTCGTGGGTAAAATATTACCCAAATGAACTTCTCGGCGGATCGACGCTGCCAGCATTTTACACCGTTTCGGCGTAATTTTGATGGATTTCACAAAACTTTTCAAAACGAAAAATGAAAAAATGAAAACCCCGCCTTAGCTTCACCTTAATTCCAACTGATTCTGATCGATTGATTTCAATTTAGTCGATTCACTTCAATATTTTTCACTGGATTTGCCGGTTTTTTTTTTTTTTTTTCGATGGCTTGAGTTTGGATATTTCTTGGTGGTAATTATGTAATTGAAAATTGTTCTTGATATTTTTCTGATGCTCACGGTGAGAAGGTCCGACTGTTTCTGGTGTTTCTGAGCTCTGGCGGTTGTACCTCGAGCACTTGGAGACCACGAGGTTCAATCCCCACCCGAGTGCTGGATAACTTTTGAATTCTATTGGTGCGCGTTGGTGGTGCGCGTGGAAATTGGCGGGATGTTCCAAGGCTTTGGGTATTGCTAACCGGCCAACGGATTATGTTAAGCGATTTTAAAGTCTCCAGGTATATACTAGGTATGTGTGAGTCCCTGGGTCATCGGCGATGGGGAAAGGGAGACGGCGAATGGAGATGGAGGAATTTTTTTTTTTTTTTTCGGTCTTTTTTTCCTTTCAGAGAGGAAGATAATAAATGGAGTAGGAGAGGCACCATGACTTCTCGCGTTAGGGAAACGCGAATTTTTTTCGAGATTTTTTGCTATTAATCTATTTGCCATTTTGTCTTTTCATTTTCTCGGAAATAAATTCAAGTTCTTGCTTTTTTTTTTAATGATTGATCCGTGACATTTTTTTGTAACAATTATTCATTTTTGGAAGAATAAATATGAGCTTTTTGATTTTTTTTTAAATTTGGTTTCTTGGGAGAAGAAAAAATTTAGGCGTGTGGAAAGATGATGATTTTTCGTGATTCCCAATTAATTATTTAATATTTATTGTTTATTTATAATATATTAAAACAGTTCAAACATCATTATAAATAAATAATTGGGATTATAAATGAAATCTTTTTTCGCAGTCTCGAAAATTCGATTTTCTCGATAAAAAAAAATAATTCAATTTTCCATAAATAATTTTCTTGCTACAGAAGACGAAAATTATTTTTTTCTTTGTGCATTTTCTCGTGGATTTTCCCTATGACGATAATTTCGTTTGAAACAGCTTGACATGTCTCCAATAGAATTTTGAGCACTTGGTGCTCTTTCTTCTCTGGTGCATCGTCGTTTCAATGTCGGTTGCAAAAGAGTATTGGGGAGGGGGGGTGGAGGGATGTGGAAATCGAGGAAAAAAGAAACTGACGACACAAAGAAGGTGGAGAAGGGAAAAAAAGCGGGAAGATTTCTCAACACACGTGTCTTGGAGGGGAAAGGAGAGTCCTCTGAGGCGGTTATAAATCCACTGTTGAGACTGGGTTAAAGGTTCGGTCAAACCGAGGGTTCAATTTTTTTTTTACCCCACAATTGAATGTACACGTGGATTCAATTCTCTTTATGGGACACGGAAAATTTTTGCTTTTATCGTCTCTGAGTGGCAGTTTATGAATTTTCATTTATGGCTATTTAAGGTTTTGCTGACATTTATGAAATTTTATTAAAAAATTAGGGAAAATAGAGGCATGACTAGAAAAATTTTTGGAATGGATGGAGTGCTGGTATAAAAAGGAAAAAGAAAATTCATCGTGAAGAGAAATTAAAAAAATGTCGAGAAATCAAAAAATCGCGAAAATTGTTAAACAAATTTTGACCGGGGGTGGAGATGGATTCTCGATGTTGACATTTTCACGTTCGAGGATCGACTTATACCTTCGAGATTACTTCTATCAGTTATCCTTCTGCTACGATAAATACAAGACACTAATCCCGGCTTGGGAATTTCCCGGAGATAATTACTGTTTAATGAGTGGATAATCCCCAGAAAATTTCTCGGAATTTCAGTGTCGAAATTTCAAATCCATATTTTTCTCTTTTTCCATTATCGATTAATCTCGAATGGTATCGATTCTAACAATTAATCGATTATTACTCGATTATTCATCGATTTACGATAAAAATGTGTTCCATGAATTCAAAACTGAAAAATTCGATTTATTCTAATATCTCTTATCAAATCCACTGAAAAAAAAATTGACGTGAAAATAAAAATCAAAATGAGTATGACATTTTTTTGAAATTCAGATAAATTTTATAAAATTCCACTAGAAAAGTCGATTGCGATTTTTTTCAGGTTCATCAGGGGGGTATAATCGAACCGAGATAAATCCTCCGGGGGTAATCACGATTGCTGTAATGAAACTCGTTACGCCCTCTGGTTACGGTGCACAATGTGGAGTCGAACACCTGTCCCCTTGCCCGCATGATTTTCAATTCCAAAGATATTTTTTTTTCTCCAACGGTCAAAACTACCCTCATTCAACCTTGACACCGTGATACACCCCTGTACCACCCCCTGCCCCTATCCAGAGCCCGAGATACAGGCAATTTAATTTTAAACTGTATCAATCTCAAAATTGTATTGAATAATCCATACATTATCTCACATTATCTCAGACAGAAAAATCCACGAGAAATCGCGGGAAAATTTCATAATTTTTAGTTAATAAAATAGAAAAAAAATATCAGGGATTCGATGGATCGCATGTGGTGTCTCTATTTAACAATCACTTGTCAGTACTTTAAACTTCTGGTGCACCACAAAATTAGGATGTATGTGAGACAAAATTCCCCTGTCTGTTTTGCGCATCAGACTGTAACTGGCGAAATTAACACGGAAACTGGACATCCGCTTCTCCCTAAATGACACCCTCTTCTCAGTTACCGGTCATTTTATCATTCGGTATTCAATCAATTAATTCCTATTATTGAGTCCGATTAATAGCCATTTGAATTCCGCCGAGGTGCGCATGCGTGCGTCGATAATTATCCTCCATACTCATCTACCCATCGACTGATTTTTTATAAAAAATTTTCAATTGACAATTCACTTTAATTTCTAGGTATCACAATCTAGAATTATTAAAATCATAAAAATTGTCATTTGGATAGAGAAAATTCTCGGAAAAAATGACGAAAGGGGGGTGATTAAAAAATTTAAGGGGTGGTACTACAATTTTTCTTGGAAAACTCAGATAAAATTTTCCGAATGCTCTAAAAAAAAATCCTGAACTACTGGATTTAATTTGATTAGATTGAGGGATTCCCAGGTATTTGTCACAAAAATCGATATCGATCTTTCTCTTTTCTTTTTCGCCATTGCGATCTACAGAGAATTTTCCCTGAGAATATAAAAAACCCGTGGCTGTATCGGAGTACGTGAGAACCGAGTCATTGCGTGGAATAAAACGTCATGATTAACGTAATTTTTTTTTTGTTTACGCTGGGGGGGGTGAGGAGGGGAGAAAATTCCCTCTTTCCGACTGATCGTATCGCTGGTGAGGAGTATGTTTATTTGATTTTAATGGGTTTTGTTTGTGTGGAGATGTTCATTTGCGTTGCGCACTCCGAGTGAATGTTGATTAATTACACGGCGGAGGGATTTTTATTGAAGAGAAAATTATTTTCTGGATAGTTACACTTCTTTCAACTGTTGGAAAACAAATCGACAATGAAATAATATGCTATGGGAAAAACACTTATCCCAATTACACAATTACTGAATGGAATGTCTGAAATTACTGCAACTAAATTCTGACTAAATGATTAATTGCACTTGCGTCAAACAAATTAGTTCGATAATTTCATCTGATGGTTGGAAATTTCCGCTGAAAATTTCCCGGGGAAATAATTTCTTTTAAAAAAATTTCCAAAATCAAATCCATCACAAAATTTTTTTTTTAATCATTCCAGGGATTAATCATTTGATTAATAATTTAAAAAATCAATTATTATATAGAAAATGTAATAATTATTAATCGTTGAATGATTTGTTATGAAAAATAAATATTTTCATTACATATGCTTATTTGTTTATTGTTGTTTATGGGGTATTGTCGATTTTTTTCGGGGAAATTTTAATCTGGAAAATTGAATTGGGAAAATTTGCGAACGGGTTAAAAAAAAATGGTGTGGACCATTTTCCCGGGGTTTTTCCACTTCACTCGGTGATTTAAATACAGAAGATGATGAATAGAGCTGGACAGGAGTCATTAAGTCGACGTCAGTGGATGGATTCCTCGTTCGGCAAGTGCAGGAGAAAATCCGGGATAATTATGGGCAATGGGTAGATTCCTTACCATTTCACTGCCCCAGAGGCAACTCGTTAAAATGTAAAATGTTATGTTCGTCGAGAAATCCCCGGGGAATCCTTACTATTTAAATGCAATACCACTAACAATTGTCATTTCTCATTTTCAACTGGAGGCATTTTTGGTTTTTGCTGCGGGGGGCAATTTGACGCTGAGAATGCAAAAATTGTAATTATATACTCTATTGTTTTTTTACCGAAACCGAAGACACTGGTCAAATTTCTTGAGGAGAAAATCGGTCAATAAATAATATCTGTACCACCAAATAATTACAGTACATAATAAAAACATTGAGTTCAGTAAATAAAATTCATTTATTTTTCAATTCAATTCAAAATAAATTACGAATATAAATATTTATTTACATATGTTTAATAATAATTTATCTGAGAAACGGATTGCAGTGGATGTGGCAAAATAATTATTAAATATTTAATAATTAAATATTTATATTCGTAATTTATTTTTCAATTCAATTCAAAATAAATTACGAATATAAATATTTATTTACATATGTTTAATAATAATTTATCTGAGAAACGGATTGCAGTGGATGTGGTAAAATAATTTACAACGAAAATTTATAAATATATTTTAACGAGATAAAGTTGATATCAAAGATTACGATCATGATAAAAAGTGAAAAAAAAATTCTGCAGGAATGCGAATGTGAATTTTGTTGGGAGAAATAATTTTTATTGGTAACTCCTTTAAAATGGCGAATGTGCGGATCAGAAATATCTAAACATGAAAAGAACATTGTCATTAGCGATTGTTTGAAGTTGGTTTTTAAGGACGAAACCGGATGTGCCTACAGCGATGCTGAAATTGACCGTTGGCAAACGAGATTCTATACCTACACCCGGAGGAAGTCGATGCACTTCAGAGTGAATCCTACCAACATTGAACCCACCCATTTCCTGGCGTGACGGATAAATGCACATTTTTTTAAAACTATAATACGTAAATGTGCACTCAGCGTGCGCTTCAGTGATTGCTCGGGCTTTTTACCATTTCGCCATTTTTTTTTCACTGGTTAACAAAATTCCGGAAGTGGCGTTTATCCTAGTAGTGATCATTGTCGCTTGCGGGTTTGTCAGGAGATATTGACCGATTCAAAAAGCCGACACTTAATACTCCCGACACGTTCTTCCGGAGATGGATGCGATATATTTCAAAATTTTTTCATCCGCGTGTA